CCATCATCCCTTTCGTAAACAAAAAAAAAATGTAAATCATCATCTCTTGTATCATCTATTTTTTTTTAATTTGATTGGACTCATAATCAACTCAACTCGAATTAATCCAAAGATCCAAAGGTTGATCTAAAAAAATGACCGGTCTAATATTAAAGTGACTTGAAAATCGAACCATATGATATTGACTTGACCAAAATCAATTAATTTGATATTGATTCAACTAAAAAACGAATGATATAATATTAATCTAAATCAAAAATTAACCAATCTAATATTAATACAACCTAAAAATTAAATAATTCAATATTGATCTGACCTGATAATTGATACGACCAAACTTATCATGAATTGGAACTTAATTCAATAGGTCCAAACCAAACATAAATCGAATATAATTTACACTTAAAATAATCTACCTCGAAATAATTTAACCCTAGCCACCTACTCTATAAATAACCATTACCAATTACAATGTTAATATTTCTTCTATAGTACGATTCTAACCGTGATTTTTAAAATTTAAAATTAAAATATATAATTCAAAAATATAATCTAAAAATTAATAAAATAGTAAAATTAATTAAAATATATATAATGTATAGTATATATGAAAATAAAAACATAATTCAAAAAATAATTTAAAAATCCACAAAAAACAGAAAAAATCCTTCAAAGAATGAGAAATATTGAAGAATGCCCAAGATTTTTAAATAAAATATAATTATTTGATGATATAATCATGACAAATATCTTTATTATAAAATTAAGAATTAAAAATAAAGAAATATAACAATTAATATATGGGTAAAGTATAGTAATGGTCACTTAACTTTTTTAATTCTTTCATTTAGGTCCCCCAACTTTTAAAACTTGTAATACAATCCCCCAACATTTAGTCTATTTTCATTATGGTCCCCCAACTTTTAGTCTGTTTGCAATATGGTCCCCAACGTAACTGTTGGGGACCATATTGCAAATGGACTAAAAGTTGGGGGATTCTATTGCAAGTTTTAAAAGTTGGGGGACCTAAATGAAAGCTTTAGAAAAGTTCAATGACCATTAATGTACTTTACCCTTATTAAAATTTATAATAATATTTTTATGAAAAAAATAGAGATGACCGACTGATATTAATAATAAAAAATAAATAATTTTATCAATAGAGTTGGTTCAAGTGATAAGTAGTTTTATATTGCTTAAATAAGGTCTCAAGTTTGATTCATTGTGTATGCATAAAATCCCTACTAGGAGATTCACCTACCAAATCAAGTGTGCAACACGAGTCAATCCGGATTAGTCAAGATAAAGCCTTGAAACCAAAATGGCAACAACAAAAAATATTGTAAAAAATGTATTATCTTTCATGTAAATATTTTAATCTCAATTATTAAACTCAATTAATCGGACAATATTATTAATATATAAAAGTTAAAAATTTTATATTATATAAATAAATGACGACTCCTTAAAAGTTTAAATTTCTCACAAAAAATGTATTTAAGAGAATAAAATTACCATAAAGATTATTGTATTATAGTAAAAATATACATGACAATAATTTAAAATATGATGTGATTTTTTTAAATAATGTAATATATTTCGAAATGAAATAAGATTAAGAGTTTGAATTTTGATACTTACAAATGAAATAACTTGAGTTGGAAGGGTTGTTCTCATAATATATTTATGCAAAACTCGATCTATGGATTAATAGAAAATACCGATGATTATTTTTTTAAAATTTTATTTTTGGATAGTTACATTTGAACCGAATATTAATAAGGGTAAAGTATATAAATGGTCACTGAACTTTTCAGATGCTTGAATTTAGGTCCCCAACTTTTAAAACTTGCAATACAGTCACTATACATTTAGTTCGTTTGCAATATTGTCCCCGACGTAACGACCGTTTCACTGCCGTTAGGATAAATTATATAAATGGTCACTAAACTTTTTAGGCGCTTGCATTTAAGTCCCCCAACTTTTAAAACTTGCAACACAATCATCAATTACATTTTAAACCCCAAATTCCAAAATACTTCATTACATTCTAAACCTCAAATTCCAAAAATACTTTAATTACATGCTCAACCCCAAATTCATAATTCATTCTCAAAATATGTCATAACAAATTGAACTTGAAGCAACAACTCTAAACCCTCAAAACATAACCCTAAATGTTAAATTTCCCCACCAATAAACCCAACATAATCAACAACGTTTAGTTCATTTTGGGTCCATAACAATAAGTGATTATGTTGGGTTTGGGATTTAAAAGTTAGATTTAACCAACTATAAGTGAACAATACTCAATTCGATTCGGAAAAAAAATTTTTCGACCTGAATTGATTCAAAAAATTTGATACAAATCGACTTTGAGTTGTAATTTCATAAACTCAACTTAAAAAAATTTCAAGTTAAAATCGAGTTGTAAAATACAACTCGAATATCTCAAATTTTTTAGTAATTAGTTGATTAATTTTTAAGTTTGAGTCAAGTCCCTTGACTCTGTATGATATATGTATATCACATATAGAAACAAATATGAAGAAATATATGTATTGTATATGGTTAAAAATATTTAAATTAGAATCAAATAATATTATAGTATTATAAATATTTATAATTAAATTTAAACCGAGACTCAAAAATTCAATTCAATTCGACTTGATTTAAATTCTATAAACTAAAATAGAAAAAATTCGAGTCAACAATTTTATAAATTGAATTGAATTTAGGTCCAACATAACCCTAAACCCAACATAATCACTTATTACTCACTTATAGTTGTTTAATTTTGTTCGAAACAGTTAGGTTTTGAGGGTTTAGGATTGCTGCTTCAAGTTCAGATTGTTATGATATATTTTGAGAATGGATTATGAATTTGGGGTTGGGTATGTAATTGAAGTATTTTGGAATTTGAGGTTTAGAATGTAATTGAAGTATTTTGGATTTTAGGGTTTAGAGTGTAATTGATGACTGTGTTGCAAGTTTTAAAAGTTGGGGGGGACCTAAATGCAAGTGATTGAAAAGTTCAATGACCATTTATATAATTTATACTAACGGCAGTGAACCGGCTATTACGTCGGGGACTATATTACAAACGAACTAAATGTTTGGTGATTGTATTACAAGTTTTAAAAGTTTTGAGACCTAAATGCAAGTATCTGAAAAGTTCAGTGACCATTTATATAGTTTACTGCCAAATTAGGGTTATTGTCTACGGTAAGAACAAAGACAAGGGTTGTGTTGTTCTGACAATGTTTGGTCAACATTTGGGGTGAGTGGCAGAAATGTGAAAATAACTTTAATTGCAGCCATGCCATGTTAGGACTACAAAGGGCCTATCAACATCAAGCTGCTGGTTCGGGGTAAGAGAGGAGAGGCCATTGGTGGAATCATTCAAAAAAGGAACGACATTAGCAAACAAAACCTTTTTGTTTTTGGGTAGTGCCAACTTATGCTACTGCCAAATTAGGTTCACATGCAATCCCATTTCCTTTTGTATTGCTACGAAACAAGGGAATGATGACATACACTAACTAAATATTTAATTATTTTTTTAAAAATTATAAAGTGTTATTTGTCGAATAATTGATCGAAACATCACTGATTAATATTATTTGATGTTAAGATTTTAGCTTTTGGTATTTATAAATTTTGTCACATAACAACGAGTAAATGATTATAAAACAATAAGAAAAACATAAATTTATGTAGAAAAATCAAAAAGAAAAAACAGAGACATATGAGTGTGATTTTACTATAATTAACAAAAAAAATATAATAGAGTTATACAAAATACATCAAATCTTAAAAATACACACACACATATACGAGTTAGGATCCACTTACAAATGTTAAACTCTTTAATGTAGACAGTTTAATTGTGGATGAAAAATATAAAAATAACTTTTATCTATTTCATATCCAACAGTTCTGAGTAAATTTATAAAAATATATAGATATCTATATACACGAACATAGTAAGTACCCTAGTTGAATAAACCAATATCATACCAAGAGTCTTTGCCCATACTTTATAGCCTCTACATTCCCTATAAATCTTTATTTAATTTATTTCCTCACCAAATGATTCGTATTATAAAATTTCAATTATATTAATGGAAAAACATATAAATACTATATTGATAAATTGATTTTAATGTATTTAAATGACTTATAATTGATTTATTTACTAATTACACTAATTACTAGTTTTATAAGTTTCTATAGATTGAAAATTAAAATTTGATTCATAATTGTAGGGATAAGGTCATTTCAAAAATGAAATCTTTCTTGAAATGGTAATTAAGACGTCTTTAATTAATATTAGGCGTGGTTGGAATGGTATTAAAGGAAAGATATATGTAATTAATTAGACACGTGATTAGTAAAAATATTTCGTGAAATGATCATTAAGATCATCTTTAGTTAAGCAAAACTATTTTCGTACTAATTACATTAGTTAAAGTGATAAGGCTAATTACATGGTAATTACATTAATTTCTATTTCTATTAAAAAAATCAGAATATATATTTTTATCATATAGTATTAAATTCCAATAACTAAAGTATAATTTTATCACTAATAATTAGTTGGTCTAGTGAGATGAGGATGAGGTATTAGGTCCCTCAAAAATTCAAATCATTCAAAATAACTATTTGAAATGTTAACGACATCGTTTAACGTTAGGCGTGAAGGACATAAATGATATTATACCGATATTTTGAGAACTCATTTAGAATAATTTGAATTTTAAGGACTGGTTTGAATCCAAATCATACTTTTGGAATGTTTGTCGAAATTAACCCTCAAATTCTCTAAAGCTGCAATTTGGGAACTGTGTTTGACATGGGCTGAATGCATAAGCCCAATTCAGCTTGACAATGGCCCATTAAGCAACTATTGTCCATGGCTAATCTAACTGCCCTGAAAAACAACCGCCAAAGCCACCGCCCATTAGAAAAGCTAACAAAAGAGAAAAGAAACCGGTGAGGCAAAGTCCAAGGCGGAGGCGCGTCGCAAATGACGGAGACGAGACGATTGAGAGGTCACACGGACACCGCCACGTGCTGTATCGCCTCACGTGACAGGCCCGGCCTTGTCGCCACTTCCGCCGAAGTAAAACCTTGCTCTTTTCTTTCTCCGTCCAATTTTAATTTTAACTGAAGCTTATATTTGTTTTTCATGATATTCAAAATTTGAATTTAAATTAGGATGGCTGCGTTTGTTTGTTTGATATGCGATGCAAAGATGTGAAATTTGTCATGGATGCTTGCAACGAACCGATTTCATCCCTTTGCTTCAACTCGGGTAAATTTCTATCATTTTTTAGTTTTTATTTCAATTTCAAATTAATTTTTGTTTGAATTACTTATTATTATTGAATTTCGGCATCGAATGCAGGAAATGAGAATATCATCTATGTTTCTGCTGGAAATGATGTCAAGTGCTTTGATGTGCATATGGTAATTCATCTTCATTTTGACTGTTTTTGCTTTGGTTGCAATTAAAATTTGCTTAAGCATTGTTCGTTTATAGTTAGCAGATAACTCGTGGAAGCCTTTGGAGAGATATAACTATAATAAAGAAGAGATAAATCAGGTGGAAATTCTTTTGGAAATGAACTTTTAGAATGCTTTAGTTTATGATTTTGAAAATTTATTATTTATACATATATTATATATATATATTTATAATTATGCTTATGCAGGTTACTTGTAATTCCAAATCATCTTTCCTTGCTGCTGCCGATGATGGTGGTGAGATTAAGGTATTCGATTTTATTTAGTTTAGTCATCTACAATATGCTAGTAAATATAAATTATCATTCAAATGAAGAATTTATTTGTCGATTTATGCAATTGATAATGGCATTTTTTTAACATTTTAACCTTGTATGGTAATATATGTTGCAGATCATAGACATTCGCCAGAAACGTATTTCCAAGACCTTGAGATCTGGACATACAAGCGTATCCTTGCTCTTTAAGCCATTTGCTTTGTCTTATTGTCCTTCAGCATAGCATGAATGTCCCTGTGGTTTATTAACTGAAATTCCTGGCTCTATATCTCGTTTCTTGATATCTTTGTTCTCAAAAGCTGTTATATGTTTCATTTTTTTGTTAAATTGATGTGTATTTGGATTCTGGAATGTTTTATTTCGAACCCCCTTTTTCAGCGAGTCTTCTTTCGTGTTCTCACCTTAACTCATCACAGATCTGCAGCAGTGTCCAATTCATTCCTTGGAGACCTTGGGAAGGTATGTCTAAGGTTTTATGGTACTCTTTTAAATCTCTCTCCAACTAAATTTTTGTGTAATATACGTAAACTTTAATGCTAAGTTTACTGGTAGAGAGTTTTTCTTAGCTCTCCATTACAGTTATTCTATTTGAAGAGGGTTGATAATATTATTATTTTATTTTAATTTGGCAGTCATTACTGGCGGTCTTGATTCAAAGCTTATCACATGGGACTTCTCAAAAGGGCGCCCACTCAAAATTGTGGATTTTGGTATGCATGTCTTGAACTCTTAGTTTCATTGATTTAAGGAGCGTATTCAAATATTATGTCATATTCACTTTTTTATAATATCATGGACAATAAACTTAAGGTGACCAATCATTGTTGATTTAATCTTCCTTATGATTCTTCTAATCAAGTATAAGGTCGGTACATTTCTGATTAATTTATTTGATTTTGTCGCGTTTACTGCAGGCTTGCCTGACATGAGGAGTGGTAGTAATGCTGGACAATGTTTAAATCCAGCTTTTGTTCACTCAATAAAAGTTCCAGATGTTGATATGTTGGACAAATTAGGCAAATTATGTGTTGTGGCTAGGGGTGATGGTGTTATTGATGTGATTGATATGGAATCAGAACTTACAGCCATGAAGCCAAAAAGTTCATCGAAATCCCATAAAGGAACTCGGTCTGTGTCCAAAGGCAGTGATGGTGGAGTTCCAGATGATAATGGAAATAAATGGTTGCATTTAGATTACTCTTTAGGTGGTCATACTGCCGCGGTGTCTTGTGTGGCATTTTCGTTGTTTGGAGAGAGGGGGAGGTTTCTAGTATCAGGCGGAAATGATAAGTTGGTCAAAGTATGGGATTGCTCTAAGTGTCTTGATTCGTGGCAGATTGGAGATAACAATGAGCTTCTACATTTGAACATCAATTTAAGCAAAAAGGTAAAGCTTGTTGCTTCTTGTATCGTATTCCATTTCTCTTCGAAGCTCTTGTCTTTAACATAGTTCTTTGTCAGGTTAATTGGCTATGTACAACTCCAGCGGAATCAGACAACCTTGTCATCTGTGACACAACCAAAGTAGTGAAGGTCTACACCATTTCCTAAATCAAAGCTGCAGTTTATTACTATTTCTGGAGAATGTCGTTGCTAAAGATCAACTCGGTATAGACATCACCAATCAATCAAGATAGGCTTGCTCCACCGGCGCTTCATTAGCTACACCTCCGATTCAGAGCACTAGGAAATTAGCTAAGCTTGTAGTAGTTGGTTCTAATGAGTGTATCTTTGTTGAAGAAAATAGAATGAGACAAATATAAGTAATGCACCATGGTAATGAGGTTAAATAACCAAATGAGTTTAATCATTTAATCATTTTGCTTAGTCTTAAAGGGTTTATTTATTTATCTATTTATTTATTATTATTTGAACATGACTTTTCTGATATAAAAATAACTCCTCAACAAGGCCAGGGATCGAATATGCAAATCTTGGGTGGCCAAATCAATGTCAGCTATGACAATCTGGTCTGGCCTAATTTTGGTACATGTTTGGTTTGGTGTCACACATCTTCCATTTCTGACCGATTGTCTTAAACTTTTTCTTTCCTTTAAGATTAATTTCACTAAAGGTCCCTAAACTATAGGTAAAAAATGATATCTAAACTTTAAAACATTATAATTGAATCATCAAACTGAAGTATCGGTCTACGCATCTTTTTTAATATTATAAATGACGATTTGGATATGACGTCATTAGAAAGAAACATCATATCCAAGTCGACAGCTAGATCGCCAGAAGGGAACTTTAGATTGAATATTCAATTAGAATGTTTAGAAATTCAGGGGCCAATTTAGAATTTCAACAATAATTTTAGGATGCCTAGTGCAATTAACCCTTTGTTGATCATACTTATCTTAATTGGTTAGATTGTAAATCCAGTTGAATAATACTTATTTACTTCTCAATCCAATTCATGATATTTTCTTACATGTGTTGAATTCTCCAAATCCAGGAGACGGTTAATAATGCATATTATGTATGGTAAGTATTTAACTAAAAAGTAGATTAATGATAAGATTCTATTTAGTGCAGCGTTTGTATTTTATGGTAAGTCTTACTAATATGTTACATTTGGATTTGCAGTGCACCGGATGCATCCCTGCCCCTCTCGACTATAATTCCAATTCCGACAAGTAGACTTGCGCCATACCGAACTGTGATTGTTATGCGATTGATCATTCTCAGTCTTTTCTTCCATTATCGAGTAACCAATCCTATCGATAGTGCTTTTGCCCTATGGCTCACTTCAGCCATATGTGAAATCTGGTTTGCCTTTTCATGGGTGTTGGATCAGTTCCCTAAGTGGTATCCTATTAACAGGGAAACATACATTGACAGGCTATCTGCAAGGTACAAATCTGTGAATCAAATATGTTCAGACATATCATTAATGATGCTAATAACATGAGTTATCTTACTTCAGCTAATTCAGTATCCTAACTATGTAATATACAGTTTGTTACTAAGCTTGTTGTATCAATTACTAGTGAAATATGTATCTGAGATGATTTTTTTTCGGGGACCATGACAGATGTGAAAGAGAAGGCGAATCTTCTGAACTTGCTGCAGTGGACTTCTTTGTGAGTATAGTGGATCCATTGAAAGAACCTCCGTTGATCACTGCCAATACCGTGCTTTCCATCCTTGCCCTGGACTACCCTGTAGATAAGGTCTCTTGTTATGTATCCGACAATGGTGCCGCAATGCTGTCATTTGAACTCTTGTTGAAACGGCTGACTTTGCAAGAAAGTGGGTTCCATTCTGCAAAAGGTTCTCCATTGAACCACGGGCACCGGAGTTTCACTTCTCACAGAAGATTGATTACTTAAAGGACAAGGTGCAACCCTCTTTCGTAAAAGAACGTAGAGCAATGAAATTAAGTTCCTCAAGCTTTCTTTTGCTACATTTGTTGAATATATGGAGCACTTTGATATTAGAAGTTATAGGGACAAATACAATTTATTATTAGCAATACATCCTTTCTATTCGATTGCAGAGAGATTATAAGGAGTTCAAAATACGAATTAATGCCTTAGTTGCCAAGGCTCAGAAAACACCCGAAGAAGGATGGACAATGCTAGACGGAACTCCTTGGCCGGGAAATAATACGCGTGACCACCCTGGCATGATTCAGGTGTTCCTTGGATATAGCAGTGCCCTTGACGTCGAAGGAAATGAACTTCCCCGACTAATTTGTGTCTCTAGAGAGAAGACACCGGGTTACCAACACCACAAAAAAGCTGGCGCTGAAAATGCTTTGGCGCGTAATACTTGTTATAATGCAGACTATGATGAGCATGAAAGATCAATGCTGATCTCTCAGACAAGCTTCGAGAAAACTTTCGGTTTATCTTCGGTCTTCATTGAATCTACACTAATGGAGAATGGAGGAGTGGCTGAATCTGTCAACCCTTCGACACTAATCAAGGAAGCAATTCATGTCATTAGCTGCGGTTATGAAGAGAATATTGCATGGGGGAAAGAGGTTGGAATTTTTTAACATGAAACTTAAAAATGCTCTAAGCACCATTTCAACTTTAATCTCCTTTGCTTAAGATCTATATAATTGTTCAGATTGGATGGATATACGGTTCGGTCACTGAGGATATCTTAACTGGTTTTAAAATGCACTGCCCAGGATGGAGTTCGATTTATTGCATGCCCTTAAGGCCAGCATTCAAAGGATCTGCACCAATCAATCTGTCTGATCGGTTGCACCAGGTTCTTCGATGGGCTCTTGGATAGGTCGAAATTTTCCTAAGCAGGCATTGCCCTCTGTTGTATGGCTTAGGAGGCGGTCGTCTTAAATGGCTAGCATATATCAACACCATTGTCTATCCTTTCACATCCCTTCCTCTCATTACCTATTGTTCTCTGCCAGCAATCTGTCTTCTCTCCGGAAAATTTATCATACCGACGTTAATGATTGCTACTAATTCATGTGTTCTTGTTTAGTTTTCAAGATCAGATGAGCTTACATTGCTTCACATCGTTTAATATGATGATCAGCTTTCAAACCTAGCAAGGGTTCTCTTTCTTGGCCTTTTCCTTTCAATCATCGTGACTGCTGTGCTCGAGCTCCGATGATGCGGTGTTAGCATCGAGGACCTATGGCGTAACGAGCAGTTTTGGGTCATCGGAGGTGTTTCAGCCCATCTCTTTGCAGTCTTCCAAGGTATCTGAAGATGCTGGCAGGTATTGACACCAACTTCACTGTCACCGCCAAAGCAGCTGATGATGCAGAGTTTGTTGAGCTCTACATTGTGAAATGGACAACACTTTTGATCCCCCCGACGACACTTCTGATCGTCAACATGGTCGGTGTCGTAGCCGGGTTCTCCGACGCACTCAACAAAGGGTACGAAGCTTGGGGGTCACTCTTTGGCAAAGTGTTCTTTTCATTCTGGGTCATCCTCCATCTTTATCCATTCCTCAAAGGTCTCATGGGCAGACAAAACAGGACACCAACAATCGTTGTTCTTTGGTCAGTGCTGTTGGCTTCAGTGTTCTCTCTTGTTTGGGTCCGGATCAATCCGTTTGTCAACACCGCCGGCAGCACCACCGCGACGTCGAGCTGCATTTCCATTGATTGCTGATGATATGTTATTTTCTCAAAAGTGAACATGTAAGTGGACTGAAAATGTGTATGGTCTAAGTTCTGAACAAGTTTGTATGCAAGTGCTATGAGCTACTTTCCATTGAAATTGCTTGAAATGAACTGTTTTAGTCTGTAGATTATGCCTGTTCTAATTTTCATTCAATCTTCCATTGAAAAATGGCACATTCATAGGAGTAAACCCTAAGCATGGATGAAGAAACAACAATTGTATATGGAAATTTTAAATTATCATATATTTTAAATATTTAAAAGTTTATTCTACTTAATAAAAAATTATGCATTTGTTCCACTTAATATAAAATCATACATTCGTCTCTAACTCTAAATATTCGGATACATACGGCAACGAAACCAAGATCCTAAACCCACACATGATTAAGAATGCGTGGGAAGTTGCATCAAATTCAAGTGTAAATATCAAGAAAGGAATCATGATAACACCTGGATTTCTAAAGTAGCAAAACAAAAGCTTGTAGTCTTAATATTGCTTTGTCGGTTTTTATAATTAATGATTAATTATCGTAATTATATAATTTTATTGATTATATTCTAAGTTATCAGTGAAAAAAAAAACATTTGTTGCCATGAATGAAGTTCCTTGTAATAAATAAGTCCTTGCAGGGTAACCAAGGGTCCATATTATTTTTTCTAATGTTTTCCTTGTAATTTAGAAAAGGCTGGACCAAGTCGAAAAATTACCACTTCGGTAGTGGTGATGAAGAAAGAGGAATCTGGAAGCCACGTAAATCCAGCTTACAAATGTATATTGGGATAAAGCAACTTTTGTCCCTTAATTTGACATTTATTTCCAATTTGATCCTTAAGTTCTTTTTAGTTCATATAATCACTAAACCTGACAACCTTTTTTTCATTTCAACCCCTTTTTATGATGTAACACACTGAAAATGTAATACTCGTCCAGTATCATATCATTTACAAGATCAAAAATAAGAAAAAGGTGGTTAGACTCGGGGTCTAATATGAAAGAGTTTAGAGGCTAAATTAAAGAAAATTATCGAATTTTAGGGACTATAAACTGATTTACCCCAGATATAATATATATGCTTTTTTAACCGACAAGCTTTTAAATTTGGTATTTGAAAATTATTTAATTTAATTTTCGTTATTACCTACGTGGAAACAGTTTAAAAATTATTACTTTGACCCTTGTTGTTTGTTTGTCGTACAGCCATGAATAACATAAAATCTCGTATTAGTTATAAAAAATTATTACTCCCCCACCTTTTTGTTGTCTTCCTCTCCACTTAACTTCCCAAGTTCCAAAATCACTGAAAACTCACACGCTTCCGACCATGAAACCACCACCATTCTTCCTCCTCCTCCTCCACCTCGCTGTATCCGCCGTCGCTGCCACCACCGAAACACCTTCTTCCTCCTCATCATCTACTCTAGACCCCAAACAAATAGAAGCACTCGAGTCCCTCAACTTTCCCACCGCAAGAGACCCTTGCATTCAACCTTCGCCTCACAACGCTACCGTATGCGACAGCTCCAAGCCCTTCCGCCACCTTGTTTCCCTCCACCTCTCCAACTGCTCCGCCGATCTTTCCCTCTCCTTCACAGCTCTCAAGTCCCTCTCTTCTCTTCATTCGCTTTCCTTCACTAACTGTCACTCTTCCCCTATCCGTTTCCCTTCCGATATCTCCCTTTCCCTCACTTCTTTCTCTTGCATTCGCTCCCTCCGCCGCCTCACGGGCGTCTGGCTCTCGCGTTTCGTTAACCTCACCGATCTCACAGTTTCTTTCACTCCGGTTAACACCACTGGCCTTTATGTGATCCTTGGGAATATGCACAAGTTGAAGACTTTAACCATTTCTCATGCTAATCTCACCGGTTCACTTCCGAGACACCTGCGTCAGAATCTGACCCATGTTGATTTATCTGATAACAAGCTCAAAGGGAACATACCAACTTCCATTACCCTTCTTGAAGATCTTGAGTACCTGAACCTTTCTTCAAATGGCCTAAATGGGGTGATTCCAACTGAGTTCGGTGACTTGATATCATTAAAGAATCTATCTTTGGCTTCCAATTCATTTTCCGGGTCAATCCCAGATTCTGTATCATCTATAACAGGCTTGGTTCATGTTGATCTGAGTAATAACCAGTTCAATGGTACTGTCCCAAGGTTTTTCTCAGAGTTGAAAGCCTTGAAAGTGTTGAAACTAGAGAACAATGAGCTTCATGGGGTTTTGCCTTTCAATGCTAGTTTCATAAAGAAACTAAATGTTTTCAAGGTTGGTGGGAATAGCAATTTGTGTTACAATCATTCTGTTCTGTCATCAAAATTGAAGCTTGGGATTGCTCCTTGTGATAAGCATGGATTGCCAATGTCACCTCCTCCGTCTAAGGAGTCTAGTGATGGTGATTCTTCAGATTATGAGGATGATAGTGCAGATGACACAAGTGAAAAGAAGGATCAACATCATGGGCCAAATAAGGTTGTTCTTGGTGTTGCAATTGGCCTTTCTTCAATAGTTTTCCTTATTGTTTTCTTAATTCTTCTCTCAAAATGGTGTGGTTGAACAAAACAGTAATTTTGATTCTTGGTTAGATTTTTGGAGTCGGGGGGGGGGGGGATAATTGGTTATTAGAGTTTCCATTTATTTATTATTGAAATTTGATACGCTTGATTTATATGATAAATGGAGGAAAAATATATCTATAGGTGGGATTTTGAGAGAAGAACTAGTGTGCTGTTCTTGTTTTGCTGATACTTTTGGTCATTTAATGGTTAAAACACAATGATTTATGTGTTATTGTTTTGGCCTGAAAAGTTCTGTATTCAACACCATTTTGGTGATTTTATCCTCTCTGGGGTCATTCATTGTGCTTTGCTATGATTCAGTTTGTTATCCAAACTGTGTTATTTAACATTAATCTAAACTTTACATGATCTCTTGTTTAAATCGAGTTCGTTTTAGAACATGTTAGTAGACTAAACGTTTTCAGGCTAATGATATTGGTGCATATAATGACTTGTGAATGTGCCCCACTGGAGTTTACAAGATTGTTGTTTCCTTCATATCGTGCCGATCGGAAGGGTAACGACGTCTTTAGTATGTCGGCATACCTGCCGGACGATCTTTTCTCCATCACTATGAACTTGGAGGTAATTATTAAAGCCAAGTCGTGGGTGTTGGTGAATGAAGTTGTATATGTTAGACTATTGAGATAAAAATAGTTTTGATGGTTGGACCCATGTTTCTGTTTAACTGTGTACTGCTCTCAGGTACCAATGAAATTTGAAGTTTCGTGGTTCTTATTACATACTCAAAAATGGACCACACCATGTGGATGGATGGGCAGGGTGCCCATCCTGCCCATCGAACATGGCCAGGTTGCTGTTATCTTTCCATTTACTAGTAAGTTTAACATTGTACTTCCAAGTAAATTCTCTAATACGATCGATACAATATCGATATTTTGATATTAGCTAAGAGTACATGATATCCGGCATTTTCCGCTTCTAGCTCGAAGACTCGTTCTGCAACATTCTCGGCCAACTCAGCATCATGGTAAATCCTGCAACCACTTTGAGCAGAGATGGTGCAATAGGCAATCATTCAATGAATTCATATGCCTACGACAGATCTACCATGCAGGCATAGTGTTCCAACTTGGGTTGAATGTTGAAATCATTTTTTCATTATGTTATGGATAAAGTCCTGAAGATAGTTCTTATGCTTATCGAATTGTACAGAATTAGTCCTCGATTTTTATTTGGTCAATTATGGCGGTTTTTACCTTCTTCCATTGAATGATCTGCAAATTATTCTCGGCATTTGATTAGAAGTTTGTAATCGGAAGAGACGAAACATAGAAAGTTACAGAAAATCTAATTTCATTGACATTTCAAAACGGTTACCCTCAAAAAGAGTTCCAATAAAAAAGGAGAAACTAAAGCTTCAAGGGTTGAAAGGATAACTAGTACACAAAGTAGTCGAAATTCAAGTATCCAGAAACAATTCGACTGAGCTCGTGATTGCTATACCTAAGCTCCAATGTTCTGACTTGTTGAGGATGACACCTTCATATTTGACCTGGAACCACTTCATGGAATCCTCCTTAGTAACTCTGTGCTGAATACCGACACGTGACTTGCATCTATGGCGACGACCAACACGGTAACCAACTAATTCTAGAACAACGTAAAAGTCCATGCCATAGATACCAGTTGAAGGATCGTACCTAGAAAGACAACAACAGTTGTAATTTATGCCTGTATGAAGTTCATAACATCAAACGTCAACTTTGGCTACTTATAAAATCAAGCTGCCAACAACTACTTCAAGTTACTTGGACTTAGATGTGAGTTCCGGGTATAAATATGTATCAGATGCAGGTATGCGTAATTTTCCAAAGGTTCTCCAAGTATTTGGAGGATTCCCTATACATCATATCTCCATATCCATGTGTCGCCTGTTGGACAACATCTCGGACAACGATACTTCAACAAAACGTTAGCAGTGTATTGCATACACAAACCTTTTAAGAAGAAGAATCAATGGGGTTATAGCTAGTTTCAAGCCCCATACTATAGTCTACCCGCTCATCCCAGTTAAACTTGCATCACAACCATATCAAATTATCACTGAAAGAAGAATCGGCGAAGCAGCTCCATTCTTCCCAACACTAAACTTAAATAAAAAGCACTGCAGGATATAAACAAGTGCACTGGATTCAATCATATCGCATCATCCTAGAAAGACTAATAAAAGGCATTGCAGGATATAAAGATGCGCGTTGCCATTCAAGTAGTTCCAGTATTTTAATCATGAACTTTTAACGAATCAAAGACCTGAACCTATCAAATATTGCAAACTTAGTTCAAATTATGCAAATTCTCATCAAACTAGAATTAAGCAACAAGCATCCATAATGCACTAACAACATAAAACATCAAATTTATCAAATTTAAAAAGACATACTTGATGCCAAGATCAATGTGTTCCTGGATACCGAATCCGAAGCAGCCCGTGTCACTGAAATTCCTCCTCAAAAGCTCATACTCCTTCACCTTCAAACCACTCTCTAAAAGCTGCATAGCCTTCTCTCCCCTTACAGAAACGTAGCAAGCAATCGGATCATTGCGTCTGATTCCGAAAGATCTCACAGTGTATCTAGCTGCTCACACCAACCCCACATTTTTATTCCCATTAACAACACAATCCAACAAAAAAAAACTAAAACAGAGCATTGGTATCAGAATTTAAGAACTTTTACCCTTAAGAGAACACAGGTGTTTGACCACTGAGTTGCTCCAAGACCTAAAATGTGCATTGGATTTACCTAATATATTCAAGTAAAAGAATTGGGTGGAGAACATTAATGGGTTTTTGACTCCGTATGCGGGGGGATACCTTAGCGGCACGGGTGAGAAGATCGCCGCTTTCACCGACGGAGATGTTGAGGACAAGTTTTTGAACTTTAATCTCCCTCATTGGGTTCGAAAGCTTCTTCTCCGACGCCTTTCATGGTCAACAAAAAGAGGAAAAAAAAAGTTTATGATACACGTGTTAACAAAGAAGAAAATATGTTGAAATGCAAGCAATGAAATGAAGACAAAATAGAGAGCTAACCATGGGGAAATTTCATTGACTGATAAAGAGGCAGCTGGGACAAACTCCTCGGTCTAGCCCTAGGGTCTGATGTATGGGGTGTAAAGTTGCGTTGTTTGTTCATGTACGAGTGCCAAGTTGCTTCCTTTGAGCTTTTGGGCTAAAGAAAGAAAAGAGATAAGCTCATGACATAATAGGAATGATAACGGGTCGAGATAAAATGGGCCAGATTTTTAATCATAATTTTGATCTGAAATTTTAGTCCTTATCAATTCTGATTTCAATATGTAGACTAATGGAAGAACCTAATCGATTCTGAAACTTCAAGGATTCAATAGAATTTGAAGTTCATGTACCAATTTCAAACCTAGATGATCATTTAAGAACATGTAATGAAACTAGTCCTTTTTCTTGAGTGAATACGAACCAAAGTTCGACATCAGAAATCATGTAGAGCAAATTTGTTATTGCAGAACTAAGTGTTCATTATAAACATCGAACTGTCAGACCAAATCTGTGATTACATTCTGTACATAGGGAATTCCCACATTGAATTTGGCAAAACGTTTCCCATTAACACAGCCTAAGCCATCTTGTCCACGCTTTAACCTTATGTTCAAAGGCCTAATACCAACAACTTAATGCCAGCAGCAATGTCTTTAAGCATATGTTTATACGTGTGTTGAAAACCAGAAATAAGAAAACCCTATAAATAGTTCCGCTGACAATTTATTTTATATCCAATCGAATTCCGCGGGAGAAGCCGGCCGGACAAGCAGGCGAACAATGCCGATGCAGAGGAAGAGAATTCTGTCTTGTTTCCATGCCTCTGCTAAAACATATTCACACGAAAGAACCATGGTAGTACAAAGGCCATTACCAGGCATGCCATCAGGAAGTTACAGAATGGCTGTCCACGCCAACATCCTGCCCGCCGTTCTGAGAAGGTAGTACCACCACTCGTAGATCCTTGGCCATGCCAATCTTCGATAAATCTGTTATGTCTAACGCCGCTGATGTTTTCTGCAGTTTGGCCACAGATTTCGCAAATTCTGCAGAGAAAAATTAAGCATAAGAAGATATATATAGGTGAATTGCAAATTTTGTTCTGCTTGCAAGTTATTACTTAGGAATCAAATGTTGGGTTGAGATACAAGCAATTCAAATACAATAGAAAGGTTGCTTCATACTTTTACGAAGACCAAATAAAAATCATTGTTTCGTGCTTATTATGCAAACAAAATCTGTGCAAACCTTAGAAATGTGTACACTTGCCTGTGACGGATACACCGGTATTTAACATTCACCCCCGAGCCTGAGTGTTAGGCGTCAAAAAATGCTAGTTCCAAACTCAACTAGAGCAAAGAAAAAGTAAAACCAGACCCTCCAGATATCATGAATACCTAACACAAAACGGCACGGTACTTATGGCAAAGCATTATGCAGAAAGTGCATAATTTCCCCAATGAGGCCTGAGTCAGATCCTACAACTTCATTACCAGAGAAAGAACATTACCTGTTTCCTTTCAGCTTAAACCATGTCTCTGCACAATGACTATGTGCACTTCCTAGCTCATCTTTGCACCCACAACCAAGTTGAATTAGATCCATAACAGCTTCGGTAGTTGATGTACTATCAGTAGATTCAAGTAATTGCTCCGAATTCAAATGGCAAATTCTACAAACTCTTTCCCCATCACAACTCTCGCTAAACTGTCTTCGGCCACCACCACTTCCCTTTATATCAATCACACATGATTCCTTTGTTTCAGCAACTTTTGACTTCGGCCCTTCTGCCGGTACTCTACTTGAACTGAGTCCATTGTCTTCCACTTCAAATTTCCCATTACCTCCTTCGACACATGCTGCCTCTTGGGTGTTAAACACAACAGTGGTGTCGAACACAAATCCACCAACTGAATTATCCAAGCTCTCACTACTTCCTTGATAAACTCGACCCAGTGTTTCAACAACTCCTCCAATTTCATTTGTCTGCTGGTTAACCGATTCCCTGCTCGCTTCAACCAACCCCTCACTTGATGCCACTACATTGCTTTTCTCCCCCAAATCCTTTTCCTCATTCCTAAGCACATTTCCATCAACTAAACTACTCGAATTCCCATCACTCCAAAAATCCATCTCATGATTCTTACAGGATACAAAGCCATCATTTTGCAATCTAAAATCTGCATTTTCTTCAGAATTTTTCACAATGACAGTTTCAGACACAACTCCATTGACATCTTCCCCTTGCTGACTCAAATTCTCACCCCTTTGATCCATTAATCTAAGCTAACTACACCTCCTCCAAATTAATCAAAAACCAAGGCAATATGCATACATACCAGCAATCATATAATGTAAAAGAGCCAACATTTTCTCCATCTTAAAACCAAATTCAGAGACCATAAACAAGGTGATCAAACAACACTTTTCATGTTCATACATCCCAAAGAATCCAAAAAGCCATAACCACAAAAGAACCGAAATAACAACAGCAAGAGCTTATCTCAAAGTAATAAAAATCGAACCTTTGTTAACTTCCAAAACAACCCAGAATCAGATCCTTACCTACTTCTTTTGATCACTTCAATTCCAAGAAAAATTGACAAACAAACAAACAAACAAAAAATTGACCCCCAAAAGAGAAGTGTTTTGTTCACATTGATATGCCAAAACCCAAGAATTGTAATTGAGAAAGATTATAGCAAAATGGATTCAATTGGTATAACAGAATCAAACACTTTCTCCATTAAAATACAAATAAATTGCGAGAATCTATGCATAGATATATGGGCTTAAAGAGGGTGAAAGTGGTTACGTGAAGAAAGGAACTTGCAAATAGAAATGATATAAGAATGAAAATGGTTGAGTGAAGATTACCTAAATATTGACTAGAATTAGTAAAATGATAATAATTTGAGGTGACATCCAGCTCAGTTGGTAGAGGTTTTTAATCTTAAATTTCTTAATTTAGTGTTGGGGGCAACCTACTATCTTACATTTCCTTTATACAAGGGATCCCTTTACATAAGGGACAGCCATTGAATTGATAATAATTTGAGGCGAAAAAAGAATGTTTTTAGGAAGAATTTTCATTTTTGGTTTCAGAGTGTTACATAAGTAAACCTTATCTTGATGGGTTAGGCAAAATTTCGGGTTCTTGAAATTGTTTATCTTATATACATAAATTGATTTTACATAATATTTGTATTATTTTAATTTTAAATAAATTTATATCTATTTGTAAATAATATTACTCGAATTTAGGCTATATTAAACGTTTTTAATTGATTATTTTATGAATATTAATTTAACTCTTAAAGAAATATGATTGTATTCGTATTAGAGCTAATTGAAAAAAATCTCAAATTCTTATTTATTCTTCTTAGTTAAATGGTCGATTAATGGTAGCTAAAAATATATGGTTATAATTTTAGGGTAAATTATCTATTTAACCACTAAAGTATAAAATTAATTTTATTGTGATAACTAAAAAAATTATAAATTAGATCAAACGACACTGAATTACAAACATTAACCATTTCTATAATTACATTTGAAGAGCCATAAAAACATACAAAATGGTTTAAGACAGTACACTCCTGACATAGTGATTTCATTTCTGGAGCATTTTCACTATCATATAGGAGATTTCCCATCTACATATTGATGGGGGAAAGTGGAAAGCTTATACTTTCTATTACCGAGGTCCAGAAAGTTCGATTGCTTCGATGGCAAAGGATGATCCTTCATGAATGTCGCTGTGATTCCGGGCGAAGTTATATGCTCTGCTCTCGCAGTGGTTTGTTCTACCTTGTGATTCCTCCGTTACCGACAGCATAAGACCTACAGGGGGACCTTCAAGACTTCAGACATTTTCGGGAGAAGGTGCAGCAGTGATCGAGTATATGGCAACGCCAACTTTGTTGCATCAAAACATCCTTTCAAGTCCCTATCCACCGGCACTTCAAGTCGCTTGTCTTAACCTGTATCAACCATGAAGTATATGCTAAGTGTTCTTATAACAAAGCATATATCAAAGCACCAATAATCATATTCTTTAGATGACCGATTTCAAAATCATAATCTTGCTGCACTGCAATCCAAATAAACACAAGATTATCGGAATCCGATGATTACACCAATTCAACCTATTTAAGCGTATAATGAGAATTTGGGAGTACCATATGATATAGTAGAAAAATTCGAGATCGGTACCAATGCACCAAACAAACAAGCAGCTACACGGGAACCACAAATGTAGCAATGATTCCTATGACAACAGAAATCAGCCGATGACGGTTTCCACCGAATCTAGGAGACGAAACCGAGCCTGCCACTATATGATTGAACATATTAGATTTGCATCATCAAAGCAATTTGATAGGTTCCAATGGCATACCATTTAGTGGATTTGAAACATCGCTACAACTATGTTCAGACGAAGAAGGGCAAAAAAAGTTGTTTCCCGTAATACAACAAAATGAAAAGAACACGAGCTTGAAGTGAGTGAAAATGATTTACCAGCAAGATAGTTCCGAACATTGATGAAGAAACGTCAGACAGCACTCACAGGTAACTTAGAAAGCCTAGAGATTTCGGAATTTCTCCAACGAATCGGTTACCAGAAAGTTCAAGAGTTTGAAGATCTGATAGCTTCACTATCTCATCTGTGATGGGACCTGACAGCTGATTGTTTTGCAACACCCTACAAAAACAGAAATATGAAGCATCTCAAAGAAGGTGAAAAATATTCACAATAATTTTTCATGTTCTTAGTACAATGACAAATAGGGTTTACTCCATGGAATAACCTTGTAATTTCGAAATGAATTAAAGCAAACATTACTAAAACTAAATCCAGAGAACCAAGTCCAGCGTCCTTCCAACAAGAACATGTAGCCAAGTGCACTATAATGCACATTTTGCATGAGGAAATCAACTTCTAAAACTACATCATCTTAAAAGAACCTACTTTCTCATTGATTGCATGTTACCACCAAATGTATATACTTTACGCAATTTGCATCCCAAACTTGAGACTTGTGTCCTAGAACATACATGGGAATATGAGCACCAAGGATCCTCTAAATACATTGGAAACTTAGAAAAATCCCATGTTAGGTATATAAACCATATCCGACACTCAAAACCAAGTCCAAGTAACTAAGTTTAGTATACCCCATAAAAATAATGTCTCGGGCAACCTACTCACTACTAAAACATCAACTTTACACAAAAGGTTATTATGCCATGCAACAATGAAATGGTTCCATAGAAGGAATTAACAGTGGATTTGCAGAAAAGAATTAGAAAAGGCAGCGGACTCGCATTGTCCTTAGGTGACTCAAGTTCCCAATGCTGGGTGAAAGCATACCTGATACTGTCCTAAATCAAACTCTCATTTCACTTTCTTTAATAAAAAAATTAACAATTCAAAGTTTAGTGCAGGAAAGGAGCACAGTTCCTTACAATGAGATAACAAAACCTTCAGCAGAACAAGCCACCATGTCCCATGTACCAGGATCAACCGAGTTACTATCCCAGCCATCAATAAATGACTATCATCTACATTCTCTCTCTTCACCGTCATCAATTCCAATGCCACCCCCAAAAACAAATCAACACTAAAGATTTCAACAGTTCTAAATCAACGGGGTATCATTCTTTCTTGCCTTTTCCCACTAATTTTTAAGATAATAAATTAAGAACCAAAAAAACCCACTTCATAGTTAACTCCTGCAACAGAATGGACCCAATAAACCCGACGTAAAAGCAACAAAAACTACTCACAGTACATGCTAAAGCAACGACAAAAAGAGAAGCTAAAGTTATTGACTTTGGGAAATGAAAGTAAGGCCAAAATCTACTGATAGAGAAGTTTGAATCAGCTAAAGTGTGGGTTTTTATATCGAGTCACATCTGTTTGCAGCTCTTTGCTTTTAGATTCTCCATTTGTTTACACTTTACAGTCTTCGGCTAAATAAATTAATATTTTCGAGTATGAAAAAAGTAATGCAAAGGCTATATATTTCGAGTATATAAATCTTACTCGAGATACGTGAAATGACAGAGATTGTAGCTTTTTCATGATTTGGAAGCTGTACTTTTTTCTGTATTCTTACTATGTTTGGGTTTCTGTCTGATTTTAGTGAGCTATGAACCGTTGAATTGATTATTGATCAGAAAACCAGCGGTCCGTAAGTGGTTGAAATGTTTTTTGAGCATGCATCATTATAAAATAATTTCTTTATGTATATATGTGAGTGGTCGAGACTGACGCGAATGTCATGTTGCTAGAGCTTTTGTATTTCTTGAAGGTGGTCCCTCGGATCCAACGGCACCGTTTCATTTCACTTAACATTTTCTTTTCAGTAATAAACGAGTTAATTACAACAAACATCCTCGAACCATAACTTAAATTGTAAATTAATACCAAAACTTCCAACACATTTCTAATAATCAATTAAGTCGTTCTTATCAATTTGGAGCATTAAATATTAACTCAAATTTAACATGAACATATTTAAAACCAGATTAAGTTTTAAATATACTCATTTGTATAATCTTCTAAACTTCAATGATATTTTCATGTCCTTTTTAAGGAAAGACTAATAACTAATGTAACTAATGATATGAGCGCGGTCCCTTAACTTTTCAATCTCACCCCCACAATTAACTCCCTTTTGAGTATAATATTGTAATTATCAAAAGTTTAAATCTAATGTTTATTCAGATTAGGGTTAATTGTACCAAACATATTCAGGTCTAAATTTTTAAATTTGAAAATTTAGATCGGAAGACGTTTGATGCAGTTAACCGTAATCCGAAAAAACAATAAATTTAAGTTTTAAAATGATAACAAAAAGGGAGCGGAAATTTTGAGAAACAGATGTGAATGAGAGAAAATGAAGCAAAAGGGATAGGAATGGAAACGGGCCGGGTTTTGCTCCCCCGTCCCGGTTTCCATTCCGTTCCCCGTCGGATTTTTTATCGGGGTGTCCCATCGTAGATTTTTTTACCCCGTCCTCGAACCCGACCCGAAATATTGTACCTGACCTGATCCTGAGAAAACCCTAGCAGTCGTAATTTTCATAAAAAAAAATAGAAAAAACGGTCACAAAAAACTGGAAAATTAGTGTACATGATTTACAATTCAAACTACAGTCACAAATTCAAACTCAATTCTAAATAATTGTCTAAACTCCAAAATAAAACACTTACATAATTAAATACAAACTTGTTATGATATTCAAATCATACAACGAAGATGCATACATAATATTAAGTTAAATAAAGTTATCCAAAATCGAGGAGGGGCAGGGATACCTAGGTTAAATGTTTTGTTTGTATTATATATAATTAATATAAAAAATATAAAATATTATATATATATAATCGGGGCGGGGTGGGGAAGGATGCCTTACCCTGAACCCAAAAAAATCTTCAATTTTTATCTCGATACCCAATTCGATCTGATATTATTTAAATTAGACTCGACCCGAATTTAACCGGGTTTTGGGTTTTTCTATCGGGTTCGATGGATTAGTTAGGAAACATTGAAACTGGGAACCAGCTCAGCTCAGTCTCTTCTTGACGACCAAAAAGCAAAACAAACGTAATTATTAACGCATGGGTGGGACCTTATGTGCTAAAGGCTAAAGACTAAGGAGAGCATCTACTTTTTTGACAAAATATACCACAATCATTCACCCTAAACCATCATTACAAGACTTTCCCTACAACGTAGGATGTAAAAAGATGACTGGATTTGTAAAATTAATTGAATTGATTGGAGTCAAAATTATTTGTGAC